TGTATATATTCAAGTTAGTAACCAAGAGATTATCATTACTGTTCTTTCTGTGATAACAAGAAAGGGGATGGGATTCCCAACTGGTATTGTCATCCTACTGAGCAAATGGACTAGCAGAAACTAGATAGTTATTTTGGTTGTTACTTTTTACATATCTGGAAGGAAACAAGTCTTGTCTAGCCTTGGAGACACTTGGATTGCCAACTCCAGAATTGTCATGGAGGCTCTGTAATATGTTTTGATTAGAAAATGAATTTCTAGACATTTTTTTCCCCCTCTTCACTAAAGCTTTTCTTCACGTGACCTTTCCTCGGTGTATCTATTTTACATGCAGTTTAATAATTCAATGTCAGAAATTGAAAGATATCTTTCTGATTAAAGTGTCACTAATTGGTTCAGAATGTCACTGTCAAGAAACCTGCAGACATCTTTTCCTGTGTCTCAACACACATGGGTTTGACTATTTTTTTTTCCTGGCGTCTGCACTGCAGGATAGACCAGAGCAGTGCTTATTAATTTCTTTAATTCCAATCTATGAAAATTCTAACTTTTCTTACAAAAGGTCATGGAACCTCTTTGCTTTGTAGACTAAAGGCTGAAAGTAAAGCCTAGAAGTAATGTGACCGCTTTACAGGTAAACCTCATTTATTTATCTCTTGGGTGTCATTGCATTGTCATTGTATACAATACTTTTAGCATTGCTTTGGCATGTCCATGGAGTTGCACCAGGGAAAATTTCTTCATGGAGACTTGCTTAGGAAATGTTTATAACTTAGTTATTACTGAGTAGCACAGACATGAAACACAGTGTCTATAATAAAGTACTAAAATAAAGCACTCAACCTTTCAGACACCAATATCCAGTTCAGATAGGCAGAATATTCAGTGAAGGTGAGACTCAGCACAGAAAACAACATGAGCTGAGTATATTCCTTTGGACAAGAGAAAAGAGCCTCAGGTTGGTAAATGGTGAAATTTAATTTGTTCAGCTACATAAAGGCATGAGAACTTTTCAGGCAGAAGATCAGTGGTGCAAGTCCTTCTAAACTGTAAGCAGATAGTAATTTTTTCAGGATTTGTGAGGTTTTGCATTGCAACCTTATGTCATGAACTGTGTTTTTATTTCTGTATTATCACAGAATCAAAGAACAGTTGAGGTTGGAGGGGACCTCTGGAGATCGTCTGGTCCAACCCCAACTGCTCAAGAAGGCCCATCTAGAAATAGTTGCCCAGTATCATGTCCAAATGGCTTTTGAATATCTCTAAGGTGGGAGGCTCCACAACCTCCTTGGGCAACCTATGCTGGTGTTCAGTCACCCTCACAGTAAAAGAAGTGTTTTCTTATGTTCATAGGGGACATCCTGTGCTTCTGATGGTGCCCATTGCCTCTTGTCCTGTCACTGGGCACCACTGACCTGTAACTTGATTTTCCTCCTCCTCTCTCCCTAAAAAATCAAAAAAGCAGCAACCAACAAAAATAGAAAGTTATGGAGACACAGCAACGTAGAATCATAAAATCATAGAATCATAGAACTAAAACTTCTTGAGCAAATAGGGAAATTAAATGTCTTGGGTACACTGTAAGTCTTTTCATCCCATTTTCTTCCCTGCTCAAGTGTGTATTTTGTATCAGCAATAGTGTTGGAGCCCTCAGAGCATGGATTCTGTAGCAAGTAAAGTCAGGGAAGGTTGAGAGGATCAAGGAACCACACAAAAGGCAAGTGTATCCTTATTGATAGCCCTTTCCTTCATTGAAGTATCCCTCTTTCCTGAGACACTCGAACACACAGATTTTAGAAGTTGTTTGAAGTCAGAGGACACACATCTTCTGCCACAGAAGACAAACCCAGCTCCATGCCTTTCCCAAGGGAAAAAGAAGGAATTCTACAAATCAGCTCTCAGAGTCCAACCAGTCTTACACAGATTATCATCACAGAGAGAACATATCCCCAGGCAAGGACTTCTGGATTGAGTTTGCATAAATAAACCTCAGGGGGTGAATGGGTGAGTGAGTCAAATGAAAGATACCAAGAACAAAAGTGAAATTCTGCATTTCTGTGACTGCTGGATATGGTCCCAGTTCAATGGTACTGTTAGAGTTGATGTGCACCTTTAAGAATAGACTTAAAAAAACAATCAGCTTGAGGTGAAAGTTTTTATGTGTACTGGACTTGCAGTGCTGGCAAGTCATTGCTAAAGAGTAACTAGTGCCAAAATGTGAGACGAGATCTTCGTACAGCTGCTGATTAAGTGAATCTACTTCCCCAATCATCCGTCCAGTATTCCAATTGAACCTCCAGCCAAAATTCATGAGGCAAATTTCATTACTTAGTGGTGCCTAACCTGGAGTTGGCAATCTGTTGTAGTCATGATGGTGGGATGGATAGGAGGTTGAAAGATGAATTAATAACACTTCATTATGATGAAATATCAAAGTATGTTGGAAGGTCACCTTGTGTTGTATAATTATATATTCAAAAGAATTTAAATTCTTGCTTCAGCCCCCAGTGAATCTGAGACAGCAGCAATGATGGGAAAAACCTCCCTTAAAAATCCCAAGAATTATACTTGTTTTGGCATGACACTGCCTAAGGTGATTCGCAAACAAGGATGACTTTGCCAAGCTTTCACATTAATGCAAGGTTCAGCAAACATTTTGAAACATTAAATCACCTTCCCATTTCCATGGATAGGATTATTTGATTGTGTAGATTTTGTTAGTTTAAAGGGCCTAAATATTCTAATGCTGAAGCCAAAATTAAATACGCACATTAATTTCATATTAATACATTTAAGTAGCCATTCAAACAAAAAAATGTCTAAATTGTTGTATTGTCTGTCTTTGGAAGATAAGGAGTGTGTCTGCTGCCATGAACAATACTAGGATTGTAGCTGCTGACCATTTTGAAAATTGGGCTCAAAAATTACAGCAGCAATAGATGCTCCTGTCTGTGTGAAGCGCTGGGTTTTCGTAGAAGCCAGAATTGCTGAATACTTTAAAGCTTAAAAAAGTACCCCTATTATATACCTCCAAATATGCGCAGTCAGTAAATATCATATACATCTGGGAAGCAGCGTATACCATTATTTATTATTTATTCAGAGTCAAATAAATAAAGCCCTTTATGGATAAGAGGCTACTGCATTTTACCCTGTCCGTTTCAATCTGATGTCATATGGTTTCAAGTTGGACTTGGTGAAATTGTTCTCTCAGTGTCCCTGCACAAAGCAGTTTGCAGTGTAAGTCAATATGACATGACCTGAATGGCAGTAAGCATGAAGGAGACAAAATGCATGTTCAGTCCATCAAAGATGGTCAGCATATCTTCCAGTTATTGCTCTGCTGGTTTTTTTAGAACCATAGAAGCATAGAATGGTTTGGGTTGGAAACACCCTTAAAGATTGTCTAGTTCCAGCCCACCTGCCATGGGCAGGGACACTTTCCACTAGACCAGGTGTTTCTTGGTGGCATGCTTTCTGCAGATTATTATGTTTAACTGAGAAATGTCACAGTGCTCTGGGTCTACTTCCTGTATTTGGTGTGGATCCACAAGATAGGCAGTGACATTGGAGCTCTTGTCTGTGTGAGAGTGTCATGATATAAAACACGAATTTTCAGAAATAACTTGTGGTTAGCAAAAGGATTTCAGATTCTACACCTGCTTCTGCATATGGGCAATGAGAGGGGAAGGACTATAGCTGAGTCCCTCGTGTTCTCCCAGTGCAGATGGGAGAGGTCTTCTCCTTTGAACAGCAACAGTGAAATGTCTTTGGGTATCAGTACCGTTAAGGATGTGTATCAGACAGAAGAAAATGAGCAGGCAGAGAGAGGCAGGAAAACCAATGTTTCCCTGTAACTAAAGGCTGACAGTGAAAACATGGGAATACGCATTGCTTAAGTCACTAAGTCTCAGTTGAACGGGTTTGGAAACTGGAAGTTTACAGCACACCCTGTACTCTGAGCTGTGCTCCAGAAGAGAAGGGCAGCCTGGCTATCAGTCGACCCAAATTAGTATCCAGTTTTCAGTGTATCTGAATAGTGTTTTCTGGAGTAATCTACCATTTGTTGAACCAAAATGGTAAGCAACACCTCAGGCCTGATCTTCACAGATGGCCTCATTCTTGGCTGGATCCTTCATCCATTAGTAATCTGTTGGACTGTCTTGGGAGTTTAAACACAAAATTGCACGGTTGATCACACCTTACTGAATTCAACACAAGGGTGGCCATACAGCCATACAAATCTGAATTTCATATTTTACTTAGGCACAATGGAGTGACAGCATTTTATAAATGATGAGTGAAAATATTTTAAGTTGCACTTTGGAAAGAAATGTGTACCACTCTGAAAGTATTTTTAGTCGCTGTTTTTTTGAAAGCCTTTGGACATTCAGCCTATTAATTTGTTTCTTTCCTGCACATATCTTTATTTATGCAGCAGAAGTATTCCTCTCCTTCAAGGTAAATTCTGTACCGTCTCACACCCCATTCTTTACAGACCTTCATAAATCCATTGTCATTTATTTGAGCCTTTGAACCTAGGAGCACATTTCCAATATGCAGACACAAGACATTTAATTTTAAATTTATATCCATTACAGTTCATCTCTAATTTGATTATATTTTAGTGAGTTGCATGACATTCACTCTGTTTTTGTCTCTCTAAGCAGCTATTTGAGTATGTTCTTTACAGTGAAAATTGTTGTTAATGATGTAATTCATAAGATAGTATTAGTTGAGGGAAAATCATTCATGTTAAAGGACACAAATTTTCAAAAGTAGTGTATTTAAAACTATGTCTCATCTGTCAGTTTTATTATCAGTTTCAGTAGAAACTTGGAAGGTGCTCTCACAGACAGGATAAAACATAGAGGCAGAAGAAGTGAGGTCTCAAAAAAAATAACATGTTTTATACTATGTTGGCAGGTGTCAATGACAAATATAAATTCATTGTTAATTAAACCGAGTCACATCTTAAAAATACTTCTTTATTTTTTCAGACCACTGTTCCGTGGAAATTCAGATGTTGATCAGCTAGGAAAAATCTTTGAGTAAGTAATAACTAGCTTCATTATGTCAATATCTGTTTAACATTGAAACTTTGTGAGGTTTCTTTGCCATGTTTTTATGCAATAATGTGACTAGAACAAAGTATTCCTAGAACATATTTTCTATTGCTAGCATATGCAACATGATATTTCTGTGTATTCTGTGTCAGTGGAGGAGGAAGCAACATGGAATATAGTTTTGCAGAATTAACAGCCATTATCAGGAAGTTACAAGGGACTTCTCTTTAGGACTTTTTGAATCTCTTAAACATATTGTGCGTGAATCATTCTTGCATATTCCTAAACAATTTAATCCAAGAGATTGTCTTCACATAAACAAATGCAAAGGTTTTACTTTTTGTTAACTTCTTTGTGTATTTCAGAAATCAACATTAGAATACTTAAGATTGTTATTAAACTGAAATCTCTAAGATTATTACCAACAGCTTCTTTGAATAATTCTGTACATCAGAACATATTTTAGCTTTTAAAATATTACTTTGTAGACTGTTCACAGTCCATATTAGTCTCACAGTTAGCTGTGAGAACAGAAGGAATATCAGCATTTTAACATGTGCTTTGTCAGAGATTAACTAATTTGCTTTATTTTAAAGCCATTTTACAGTTCTAGGAGTTTGTGCTTTTTTTCATCAGAGATATCAAAAGTCTGGGAGGTGGGGAGGCTCTAGACTCTCTGGGGAAGAATAATTCTCATTCAAAATATGTTCTTACTTAAAAAAAACCAAAAAATTAAGTTATTGATTTTACAGATAATTAAGTAGGATTATATCACTTTTTCTTTTAAAAGCTCTTCAGAGCAAGGAACATTGCTGAATTTGGAAGAACCGTGTAAATTTTAGATCTTATATATGTATCGTGTACTTAAGAAATCAAGGCCACGTAGGGCTGGTCCCACTCCAGAGGATGGATACTGATTTGCCTCTGTATCTCTGTCTTCTCTTTCATATGGAGGGGCTTTGGGGATCCAGATGAAGTAAGAAATAGGTACCAGAGAGAGAAGGCTGAAATACTGTTCTCTTGGAAGATATTACAAAGAGAAGACAGTAAAATTTCTAAGGAGAAGTGCTTAAACAGAACAAATACTGAATTTCTCCAGTTAACCATTTTTCCAGTTCTCAAATCATAACAGATCTGTTTCTAAGCATTTTCACTATTTAATATGAGGTTCACAAATTGCAGGTCTTTATTTCACACAGTTGACTTCCCTTTCCTGCATACCATACCAGTGTATGTGACTCACTTGCGTGATTAATTTGTCATGCGTTGAATAGCTCTTCCTGCCCAATCCAGAAAAATGAGTCCATAAAGTTTACTTCTTCTTCTTCTGCCAAAGCCACTGCTTTAGTCCTACAATATTCTTCTTTATTCAATGAAGACAGTTTTGATACATCAACATAATTTATAATTAAAAAGGACATAGCTGTGATTTTTTGAAGGATTCTTGTGACGTTTAAGGTGAAAAATCAAAATGAACTGGACTAGGATTAAATACATAGATGCTAGCAGCAGCCTCCAACGGCAATCTTTCCATCCCTAGGGGCTGAGATTACCTGTGCAGAAAAGAATTCATCAAGAAAAGAAAATGCTGTGCTAATTTTAGAAGAAATCCCTTATTACACATCTATTTAAAGTTTGTTTTTCCTTCTTTTGTGCAATTCTCCTTAAATAGTTCAAAAGTTTCTTTCTTGGATTCTGAGGGGCTTATGTTAAATAGCATTTATGTTGTGTTTTCACAGCTGGAGAACCCCCTACAGTTAGGCATAGCTCTTTTTGTAGGAGGGCTGTTTCTTTCTACAGTAGTGACTCATTCTGCAGACTAATTTGGACAGAAAGTAGTTTCGTGATTTTTGTGTAATCTGGACTGTTGCATTCTTTCAGATAATGGGGTTATGGTCTACCTTAGCTTTACCAGTGCATTCCAATTTGCATCAGGTAAAATCCCACCATACATGAGGGTAAATCCCTCAGAGGCAGCCCAAAACATTTTTCTGCTTTTCCAGGTCGCCATCAGAGTGTGGGATAGCCTCACAGATTTCAGGCTAAATGCTGAAATGGTTTGAGCAGACTTGTCTCCCATTGTGATCTATGGGAGTGGAAAGTACTTGGCTTTTCTCAAGACCAGGCCTGAACCTTTGGCAGGAGGTGAAACTCATCCAAGATGCTCCCAAACTTAGTCACTGAAATGGTAGTGCTACCAAACCAGAGTGAGGGCACCTACTCTGACATTCATTATTAGAGTTTTGAGTAGTACATGAGTGTATAACTGAAAATGTCTCTCCTTTCCACTCTTGGTCTTGTGCACCCTACCTGTCTGACAGTCTGCTTCCTTGTTTCTTTTTGTAAGCTTTGCCTGTGCTTACTCTGTCCTGTTTATGATCTCTCATGCAAATGCTAAAAAATTTGGGACTAACCAAACACATTTGAATGGCAGGTGAAAATTCATTGTTATTTAAAACATTTAACTCCCGTATCGTACTACAGCGCTCTTTGCATTATATTTAATACGGGTCCAGACCCTCAAATAGATAATTATATAGCTTTAACCACCATGGCCAAGGGAATTGCCCCATACCCCACTATACCTGTGATGATAAAAGAAGAACTCAATTTTTCATACAGATTTAACTTACCTTTTCCCAAAAGCTGTGGTATCTTCAGGTGTGGGAAAATTACATTGTCCTGACATTTTAATTGCTTTGCCCTTCTAGCCATGCGGTTGTTTTGAGGACATACTAGTTTTTGGAGGTATTTTCAGTGAGCAAAATTAGTCTAAAATCCATGTAGGTAGATGGGGAGTTCCACTAAGCTCACTGAGGTAACCCTATGATTTAGAGCAAACTGTTGATGTAAATACCCTAGTCGCACTACCAACCTCACCTAGAAGAAGGTCAATGCTGCTCCCTAGCGGCATTTGGTTTAGCGCAGACCCAAGTATTCAGTGATGTTTTTTTGTGTTCCCTCGTTTCTTACTCTGTCAGCGTTTCCACTAAAAATCTCCATTTTACAGGCTGTAAAAATTGATTTTTCCTGAAGCCTGGCAAGTAACGCATGCTCTTGTCCAAAAATTCCTTCAGAAACTGCTGTTTCAACACCACCAATATTAGCATCAGACTAAAACACAAAATTTGTGAGACATGATCCATCATTGGAGGTTTATGTATTATTTCATTTATTTGTTTTTTAAACCTTAGCATGATTATTTAACAAGTATAAATATCTTCTAAAATTTAAAGAATAAAGGAATTATAAAAATAAATGAAAATATTTTTTTAAAGGGTAAAGAAAAACTAAAATACAAAGTAAAAAGAAAACAACATAATGACACTCAAGTCCCATGCCCCTTCAGAGCTGAGACTTTAAAACCTGTATTGTGAAGCAAATAAATTGTTTAAATTTGGGCAACAATTACTGCACATAGCTTTGAAGCATTATGAAACATCCCTTTTATTGCCTTACCCTCATCTTGACCCACACTCTTCTCTCAGTCTCTATTCTTGTGAATAAAGATCCTTGCATGCAATTCCCCTTTGAAACTTACTGCTTTTAATCATCCTGGAGCGACATATGTTGCACCATCCAGTGAAGAGCTGAGCAACTTTCTTCCAAAGCACTCAGCCCGTTTTCAACAAAAAGACACAGAAAATTGAGATGTAGGCCAGAAAATTGTGATGGCCACAGAATGATTTCTACCAAACACACAGAGAACTTAATCAGCCTCTGTGCACAGAGGTCAGTGTACTACTTGTACAATCAATCTCATTTAAACAAGAAGACTTATGAAGTAAACTGCCACTCAGTATAATCAATATAAAGGGGAGAGGGTATAAAATCTTCAGACCTGACATTATGTTTTTCCTTTCACAGTGTAATTGGACTCCCAGAAGAAGAAGACTGGCCTAATGATGTTGCCCTTCCAAGAAATGCTTTCACTTCCAGACCCGCACAACCTATTGAAAAATTTGTGCCAGATATTGATGAACTGGGCAAAGACTTGCTTCTTGTGAGTTGCTGTTTGTTGTTCTCCAGGACACATGACTGATAGTTCCCATTGCACTGGGGGATATAGTTCTGGGGAAAAAACAGCGTGCCAAGAAACATTTATGCTTCCTTTTAATGACGTTATTAAAGAAAAGCTCAAAATTAGGTAGACAAATTCATGTAAATCCGTGAAACATCAGCACAAAAACACTCAAGAGGTGTTAGAGATGAGAACAGTTAGAGACTAGAAAAGTGTCAAGGAAGCGCCTGCTTGACTTGTCTTCAGAGCTTATGCTTAGATCCTCATTACTGAACACAGTTGTGCCACGGATTCAGCCATTCTCATAGTAGAAGATTGACCTGAGTGCAAAAAATGATCTGCCATTTTGCATGGTTTAGTGGACCCAGTATAAAGCAGAAAGTAAGCCATAGAAGTAGATTACAGCTGCATGCCTTCTAGTGAATCCTGAAAACTTGAGATTTGGAATTCAGCAGCTGCTGCCTCTTACAAATGGCAGGATTGAACAGGAGCAAACAAATTGAGCTGGCACAACTGGTAACACTGAATTCAATTAAATTGTTTCTGTAATTTTTATACATATGTTATAAACCCCAGCCCTGAAGTTCAGTCTTGCAATGGAATATAGGGAATGGCCTTGCCTCAGTTTGCCTTTTGCTGTGCTGTTGAAATCTAGCTAAATTTGTTCTCTAGAACAAATTCTGGACTACATCTGGGCACTTGAAATGACAGGAGAAGCACATCTGTTGGTCTTGCAGCCTGGAAAGTGAAGCTTAGACATAGGACAAGAATTAGATTTTGAGAACAACAAGGAATAAATATGGCAGAGCACTCAGTGAGTTTGAGGCATGATGAGAGGAAGGAAAAAGACAAGTATCTATATGTAGAAGGTAAAGTGGGAAGAGTTAGGCAAAGACATGAGAACTGGGAGCCAGCCACAGAAGAAACGGGAGAGTAGGACTGGAAGTCACTGAATTAGATTTCAGATGTTAATGACAGAAATTATGATACAAGAAAATAAAATAGGAGTAGGACGTGCTTAGATAAGGAATAGGGGGGAAAATACTATCTGGAGGAGAACAAGGTATAAAACACAAGGCCGCACAAGGAGAGATTTCAGTGCTGGCTGGGCAGAGGCTGGGATAAGGATCTGGAAAGATAGCAAGCAAAGTACACATAGGAAGAAGAGGCAGAAACTAAACACAAGACATTAGCATACAAAGGCTACAAAGTCAAAGACCCAATGCCTATAGACATACTAAGCCAAGGAATGAACCTTTTGATGCCATTTGTGTTTGTATAACCCCAAAAGAACAGTACATTGAACACTGAGGGATGCAAATGTTGTTCATGGATAGCTGCTCCCTGCAGCCTGTGAGACAGGTGTTCTGTGCATGTGAATTCAAGAAAACCTGAATTATGGAATTTCTGAAACGATGAATACTTGAATTTTCTAACCTGTTATTTTCTATTACCTTTGGGGATGCCATATTCATACACTATGCCCCCACTGCTTGTTTTAATGTGAATGGTAATGTTAACATACAGCCCGTAGTGATACCCTGTTGTGTCTCATACTGATCATAAATTGAAGGTGGCATGCATCAATGTATATATGCAATGTTAGCCCTGTTAACTGTACATTTTAGTTAAAACCAACTTCTTTTCATACTTACAGAAATGCTTAGTGTTCAACCCAACCAAGAGAATATCTGCCTATGTTGCCCTCTCTCACCCATATTTCCATGATCTGGAGAAATGCAAGGAGAATCTGGACTCTCACATGTCATCCAGCCAAAACTCTAGTGAGCTGAATGCATCATAATGCTGACTGAAGATGAACCATTAATGAACAAGAGGCGTAGCTGACAAGGCCACTGTCCCATACAAACCACGTAGCTGTTCTAGCGAAGATCATTATTTGGAGGTTTTATGCACTTATCATTTATTTGGGGACTGTGATATGCTTATCCAAGAAAACCAATCTAGTTTACTTTCATCAGAGCAACGCAAGGGCCAGTGCTTTGACCTGCTCCCATTGCAGCTTTATGTTTGTTTTGTTTTCGTTTTGTTTATCTACCTGGGAAAACTCCAGACAAAGAGAAGCTGCTGACCAGTTTTGCTGCCATTTTATCCTTTTAATATCGAATGCTGCCAGTGTGGAGTAGGATGATTGAGTCACTGCCAAAACATGACGCAGTCTCTCTCTCTAGCTGCTGAAGTATGATTTGGTACTTTTTAAACTATTATTATGTGATCTCTTACAGTGATATTTAAAGAATGGCATTGAAATACCAGATCTCTGCAACCTGCAGTTAACTGATACGTGCATTAATACATCCAGCTACTGTTCATTCATAGCGTATGTGCAGGTGCTTCCCCACTTGAAAACTTGGATGGATTATTTTATCATTTCATTGCTCTATAAAAATAACAGTGATGATGGTCATCATAATACATGTCTCAATTTTTAGGTTTTTTCACACACAGACGAGTTACTATCTAGCTACATTTGTGTGCATGTTGCAAAAAACAAGTGTTCTAAAAATCCTCTAGAGTCCTGTTCTTAAAGACTCTTTCGGTTTCCAAATGGTCAGCTTGTGTTAAAATCCAGGCACATTCTAGCCCATGATCTAATCCATCATTCCCCTCTGGAAAGAGCTGTAAGCACATTCGCTTTATCTCATTCCAGTTTTTCTGATATACAGCTCAAAGACATGGGCACAGCTAATGAAAATCGATACAGATTTTCACCTTCAACCTTTTCTGATCATCAGCGAAAAAGGAAAATAGAAAGAAATTGCCGATTCAGAAGCAGAGAATCCTGTACCCGCAATAAGCACAGATATGTATTTGTGCAGAATTGAATGCTGTCTACTGCGCTGCCTTACCTGCAACACCCACCCATGCATTATAAGTCCATGAATATTACTGTCTCAAAATCCCTCAGATGTCATTTATTAAGCAGATTTGTCTTCTATGCAGAAATGCATGAGCTTCTCTCCTAAACCACCATGTGGGTATACTGGCATATGCTTCTCCACTAGGGTTAATGTGCCATTATTGAATGTCAAAATAACTAAGCAATTCACATGCCTTTATAGCACATTTATTTTAAATATTACATTAAAATTTTATATTTAGTATTTTTACCTTAACTAAAATATATTTTCAGTATTTTAAAAAGTTTTTATTTTTTTAATACTGTACTGGAGAAAAAGAAATATTTTAAATCCATAAAAGCTGTTCCCTAGCATGACTTTCATTCATTTAGCTGGATATGACTTGGGGGAAAATATTGGTCCAATGAGTTAGCCCTTACCATAAAACCATGAATATACATGATTGCAGTACAACTGATGATAAGTGAGGCAGCTAGCTTTGCTTACTCCTGTCAGAGTCCCTTAGGTTTCTCTCTTCCTCATCTCTATTTTATCTAGTCTAGCTAGTGAGCCAGCATTATATCCTCATTCACAGCATGCTTGGCAGAAGCAGGTCCTCAGCAGTGAGTTGAGCAATATAGTTTTTCCCAGCTGTGGCATGAGAACTTGTAGCCATCCCCCTAGCAGGTTTCTCAGCCCTGTGATAGACTGGCTGTTGTGGCAAACTTCACTGTTAACTCTGTCTGGGAGACGGTCCATTGCTAGCATAGTGAGTAGAACTTATCTGTCTCTTGGATAAAGCTTTTCCTTATTGTTAGACATGTAAGTATGAGACATATGGTTAAATTAGGTCTGTTTTAAATAAGCCAGATTTTAAAAGGACCACTTGCATGCATGCGTGCAGTGGCCTGTGCTTTTCTTCATGCCCAGGATGATGCCTGTGTGAAACCTACTAGCATGAGCAGGCAAGTTGCAAATTAGGCCTGGCAAGAGCATGCACAAGGCATCTGCACACAGAGATACTGCAGATGCAAAAGACAAGGATTTTGGAAGCCCTGCGAGCAGCAAGCTGAAGGCCAGGAAGCAGTCATGGCAGCTAACCCTCTAACCTTGGCCTTGCCTCTGTCATTCTCTCTGTTCCTCCATAGAAGGGTAACTGTGAACTCACTGCCCTGATGTTGTCCCAGCCCTACTCCTCCATGTGTCAATGGACCTGAGTGTGAATAGGTTTTAACAATCATAGAAAAGGATGGGCCAGAGTGAAATTTTTGCTAACCATTTTTAAACACTAACTAGAACAACAAACAGAACCAAAGTTCAGAAGAATCTTGTGACAGTAACAAACAAGAACATTTTTGACACAGTTTAGCATCTTTAAAAATTTTACCCCATTTTACCTAGCTCCAGGACATCATACATACTTTATCAGGGCATTCAGCTGGTGCAGCTTTCCAGCAGCTGTCAGGGAACTCTCCCAGAAGTCTCCAACAACTAGCATAGGTGAAAATGTAGGGGAGGAGAGGGCATTTTCAAATTAGGCTCAGAACTCTCAGATAGAGGTGTGCATCTGTTCTACGAAGGGAAGAGAACATTTTAAGCCAAAGGTTAATGTTGGCCCAAAAACTAATGAGAATGTAGAAATCACAAGGAAGTTAACTACTGAAGCAGTATTTCTCAATCAGTAGTATCAGAAGAAGAGCTCGGAGAGCAGCAGAGAAAAGCAGGAGCTGGCTTATGGAATCACAGCAGAGCTTCCACAGCATGGTGCTGTATGTTGTCTAATACAGGATAAGGTTATGTGGGGGGATTTGAGAGAACAGCTTGAGAAGGGCTGCATTAATAGTCATATTCTGGAATATCCAGTGGGAATGGCAGGAACAAAAAAAGGAACCTAAGTTCTGTCTTGTCAGGTTTAGGGAAAAGACTTATCTGGTAGGACCATTGCAGTAGCAAAGTCCTACATTCCAAGAACCAACAAATTCTCAATTGACTTCCCTTCAAAAATCTCTTTAGGAAGAAATTCCATTTGACATGCCATAGGCTTGCTCATATTCCAGTCTTCCCTGCCAAACCATGGGGTTTCACTTACACTAGTAAACTCAGAAAGCCTCTTCTCTGGCTGGGCAAAGTGCCGGCACTGGCTAAAATCATGGCAAGAATCATGCTCATAATTAGTACATACAACTGTGGGACCGTGCTTGAGCATGTGCCCTTGCTCTTTTTATTTTACTGGTATGGCCCTAGTATTTTGTGTACCTTTACTCATTACTGCCATGTATAGGATGTTGGAATTGTGTCAGTGAAAAAGAAAGTGTTTCTGGACACACATGTTCCAGACTGTGGTGCAAACTCTTCATGCATCCTTTAAATAAGACTTCAGAGTGCAATTCTTTGTAGCAATAACTATGCCTGTATGTGTTCTACAGGAGCAGTTCAACAGCAGCTAAAAACCACTGAATAACAAAAGATACATAAAAATAAGTATAGATGTTTAGCTTCTAGAGCACCCACAACCAGGCACTGTGCTTTCCTCAGCAGAGAACAGGGTGTTCTTAGTAATGGAAGGAGTGATTTCTATTTCCCACCAACCTTTTTTTTTTATCACTACTACATAATTTTGCAAGAAAAACAGACTCAGTTATCTAAGGGAAAAAATCACCAAAGCCAGCTAGTGAAGTGCTAATTGCAGTACATCTGAAGCAGCTCTTTTCAGTCTTCACCCTGTCTCCACGCTCATTCTAGACTTTTAGTTCTTTGCTCAACTTCCTTATGGAAACAGATTTCAGTGACACAGGTGCTATTTCCAACAAGATTCTTCCAAATTTTCCATAGCTACCCAGTATCAGCGTATTACCAAGCGTTGCTTCAGTTTAGTCCAGAACTGACAATTTAGAAAGATTTCCTTTGTGCACCTCTTTTCTTACCCTTAGTTCTGCATACAGCTGTGTTGCTTTCTGTGCGCCAAGTAAAATTCTGCAAATAGGGTCTGCATATTTCTGTGTTGGCTGCACCCACACTCCAGGGTTTTTTCAAGCTGTTAGTCCACAATGGTAAATGTTAGAGTACTTTTCTTTGTTGTTTCTGTCCTAAAACACACCAAAAAAAGGGGACAAAATGTTTGCAAAATACTGAAATTTGGTGCTATGCATACAGAGCCTTTTACATGAAATGAATCAGTAAACTGTAGTATTCGAGCATCTTCTGCATCAGGGGTGGTACCCAGCATCATAAGTAACTCTCGTGTGTTTTTTTACACTCGATGGTTGTTTCGGTGAATAAGAAGAAAATAACTGTGCCATACTACTTTTCACAGGTTCGCTCACTGTCTTTGAGAAGCATGTTTTATTATACATATGATTCTCTCTGCTGTTAGGTATTAGGTCAACTTTAATACGGAAAATAAAAAGAAATCATGGTGGTTTGGTCTTTTAACCAACGAATTTGGAGCACTTACCAGACTCACAGCTGAAAACACATCAGTTGTCAAATAGGTATATGAATCATAAACCACACAGGTTGGTTTAAAAGGCCACGTAAATTAATTATATTGCATGTATCAGACACAGTTGAATAAGGAGGAATTTTATTCTAAGAACTCTGTTTTATAGAACCACTTTGCTAGTATTTTTTCATATACAGTAGTTTCAGGAATAGATTGATTTTTATATACAATGTGAATTAGAAGATTCTAGGCTATTAGAATGATTTTGCTGTGTTATGCCTGAAGCTTGAATGGAACACAAGCTTAGGAGCCTAACATATTTATTTTATTGCTACAAAACTGCTAAATACCAAAATCTTTTTTGATGTTAATAGATTTCACACTTCTCCTAATGTGTAAATGATTATTTTCTTGAGATTAGTATACTAGAAAAAACATTTTTCCAAGTCTCAGTTGTGTGGGAAAAATTAAGAAATGTGTTTCTACTTTCACAGAGAAAAATAACATGTTATATACTGAAATCTCCAGTAACTGTCAATAAGGTATCTCTTTTGCTTCTTTTTGATTACTAAGTATCAGAGTATACTTTCCATGAAGGAAAAAAACAAATCAGAAACAATCTCAAGAAAAGTAAATGGGATTTTATATGTTTAACCTTCCAAGTTTCATTTTCATACCCAAGTTCTTTGTTCAAGTACAGTTCAGGTGTGCAAAAACATGACTACAATTTTAACAGTCTAACAGGCTGTACAACTTAAATAGATATTATTTGTGAGCTATTTATCTCTTTGGTTTTCAAATTGTTAGATAATGGCTGTAATATAATTCTAGTTTCTGGACCAGACTCTGTAACCATCAACTCCCAGTAATTTATGTAAAACAGTAAGAAGCTTTCTCATAGATTTAAATTAACTAGGCCATTAAAAGATGAAAGATGTGGACATACAAACTGACAAATATGCTTTTGCCAAGTCTTATTTCTTCCCTTTAGTTTTAAGCTTATCAAATACTGCATACTGATATGCAATATAAATACAAAATAAGACCCATAAAACCCACTTAGGAGTAGTGTGCATAGATAATAATTTTAAAGCACTCATCAGGTTCGCACAGAAACTAGCTGAAAATCATTCTTTTGGCTGTAACAGTCAAAATTTTGAAACTGATGTATTTTTCCATTTAAAATATTCCTGAAAAATGATGTATATGTTTTTAATCCAGACAGTGATAGGCAGCCAGACAGAACTGAATCAAACAGGAACTTGTGCTTAAAAAAAGATTCTGCAAAGCCAAGTAGATACCATCAGATCTTTATGTGTTCATCAGAAGCTGAAATCAGCCAGCACCATGCTTAGATGAGCCTTCTACTTTCTGGGCAGAAAAGCCCAAGGTTGCTGCAAGTAAAGTTAGTGGAAAATACGCCTTGGCTTAAATAAAGCCCTGTGAGAGCTTCTGCAATATTCAGATTTCCAGCCTTCATTGAAAGACTCTGCAAAGCAGCTTCAGATAAACCAAAACTCCATAACCATATGCCATTTTTTTCCTTCAGATTAAATGTTTCATCTGTGTTAGAATATATTGGTGGGCTTCATCCAGCCTGTTGTCAATGAGGCTTTTGCATGGCTAGACAAAGTAAGAAGAGATTCTGCTGTGGATATTTTGAAATGGGGTGATTGTGGTAGAGTAGTTTTTTTGTTTTGAAAAAAAGATGAGAGAAATGATGCTGCATTCTTTTCAATAAAACAAGCAAACGAACAACTGACAGTAAAGATTAATAAGGAGATTTTAAGGCATTATTGGGAAAATATTGGTGGGATAAGTGAAAAGGAGCCTATTTATAACGTGAAAATATGTAAATACAAACAATGTATATTAAATATGCATTGGAAGTGATACTTTTTCACTCACCCTGCAAAGTTGATAGGGTTTTATGGAAGAAAAGCATCCAAGTATGTAACTACCATTTTAATGTTCATTTGCACTAACGCGACCTATGTTATTTGACTGAAAGGAGAGGGGACAACAGGTAGTGTTTAACTTGTGATTTATTTTGCTGTAAAGCTCTTGAGCTCACTGTCTGTTTTCGAGTGAGCTACATTTACATCCACACTATTTAGCTTTCCATACCTTAAACCCATCCACATGCCAGACACATTCTCTAGTGTTTAAATGGATACTTGCTCCCATTGACATGCTCATGTTAAACCCAGCCAAAGAGCACTGTCTCTGCCACTGAATGGAAAACGGATTGTCACAGACTGCCAGCTTCCTTCGTGCAGTTACTCCTAAAGAATTTGCAATTAACATTCTACAGTATGCAGCCTTTCCTGGAATTCCATATTTCTCATGTATGTCATGTTATGCAATCCTCAGCTTTTTATTTCTTCTTTTTTTTTTTTTTAAGAAGAAGAAAGTTTTGAAAGAAAAAAAAGAACAGTTCTTGAATGTTAGGATCAATTTTGAGTAGCTAGATAAGGGAGGAAAATCGTGAAGTGCTGCAAAGATAGGAAAATGAGCAGAGAATTGGGAGAGTTCAGGACAATTTTGGCAAGTGAATTTAAGTATGTGGAAAAGTTATGTATAAGTGTAGGGGGAAGACTTTTTTTTCCACATCTTTTGTTCTGTCATTCAGTTTCATTCACTTGTCATTCACATGCAAGACTCTTGCATGAGATTTTAGTTCCAGATACTTATTATGCCAACTCAAGTCATGAGCTCCAGTGCAGTTTTTCAGCATAGCAACAGCTCTATTTTTTAACTCACAGTTGGAGGAAGCTAAAGGTTTTTCTGTGTAGATATTGAAATAAAAGTCTTATGAGACAGCTTGAGAGCAGGTTAAACTGGCCACACAGGCACTGCCTGGAGCTCAGCTGCAGATGTGGAGAACACACAGCTCTAACTCAGGGGGGTCACTAACTGTGTCCGTTAGTGTGCAGTATTGCTGTGCATTGCGAGCTGACTCCTGTCACAAAATGAAAACCCTTTGGCAATGCAGAATGGCATGGTTTTGAGCACTTGGATTTTGATAAGATTATCTGAATGCAGGTTTTGCTGTGCAGGTGGTTCACCATCTTACAGGAGCAAGTCTGAGAGCCTAGGAAGTTTGTCCAACACCCAGTGTAACTAGTACGGCAGAACCATCTGCTATGGAAGTCTTTTTGTAGGTTGTACAGCAGGAATGGAACTTCCTGAGCTGCTCTGACAACCTGACAGCTACCCTTACCTATTGTTATGCCACCTCCAAAACCCATAGCAAATAAGGCCTGTATGGCATTTTGTTGTGTTTAGTCCATGTGTGGAGTGGCTGGGTATGTTGGTTCAGAGCAGCTAATTTTGGTCCTTCCACTAAGTGTGAGCAGCTGAGCTTGGCACAGAGACAAATTTCACAGTTTCAGGAATGGGAAACCTCTAATTCTACACTGTAGTTCTCTGGCATTTGTTAAATACATACAGTGATAGATCACCCAGACACTCGAGCTGTCCTTTCCTTATCCCAGACCATCCTACTGTGACACTGTGAAAGAAGCCCTGGGTTTGTCTACTCCTCAACAGTCCTTCAACATCCTGCTTTCTCTCACTGCAGTGACGGTTACCTATCATTTGTGTCTGATCCTGCTGGTACTTCCACAGCCCCTTAAGAAGCTGTGAGCTTTTAAATTACTACCTTGTGATTCTGCAGCCCCTTCGAGTCTGCAGGCAGCCAATGACTTGTACTGTAATTTTTTTTAGCTTCTCATTTGGAACTGGGAAATACTACAGTACAATATGGGAAACTGCTACTTTTTGGTTCAGGCAGAGAGATGAGCTAGAATAGATTGGACTGAACATAATGTGCTTGATCGGCCAAAACAATTTTTGATTCAGAAGATTATCTCAAAAAGTTACCAAGTAGAGAAGATCCCTGGATAACTGTCTGTGATGTACATATTTACAAGAGCAGCCAATGGTGCTTCTGTTATACAGAAGTTTTTAACAGATGCAAATCTCCTACTGCTTACCCTCCTTTTTCCTTCCCCTTCCCCAAAATCACTGTTCCCAGGGAGAGGTTTCCTTCCAGTGTGAGGCAGAGCAACTGCGAAACAGTTCTTTTATGAAGGTCCCCAGCTCTCAGAATAACTTGGGCACATGTAGGCAGTCACACTCATTCATCTGTTTTTTTCTACGGCAGCTTTGAGTAAAGAGCCTGCCACAAGTAGTAGGCACAAATGGACCTTAACCCCCAGCATATTCTCCCAAGGAAAAGTTTTTCCAGGATTGTCACTGTTTCTGACAGTCAACTTTTTTGCATTTCTAAGAACTTCCTTAAGAAAGCTCTCTCACTATACAAGAAGGGTGACTGCGAATCTGGCCATGTTTCTCAATCTTTTTCCAGCAAGACACAAAATCCATCAAGATTTCTTGCAGGGACTTTGTCTTGCAACAAAGGTGACTGTAACCGTGGGTTGCAACTACAACAAAAAAACACATCAGAAATTGGATGCTGGCAAGAAGTTTGTGGATATGAGACTGAACAAGGTAGCTTATTGAAGCTCAGTGTGGATGTGCTCATCGGGAAGTATTGATTGACACGCACATTTTGAATTTACTTATTTTGAAGTTGCCTGTCATAACTTGACAGAAGGCTTGCAGTGTCCTGAGAATACAGGCTGAAAGGACTGCAAAGATCCATCCATCTTTCCCTTTTTTCTTGCTAGATGTCTAGCAAACCAGTGGTTTTCCACTTTGTTCTGCTTCAATTTGTTTTATTTCACTTCCACCACCACCTTTCTCCTTCCTATTGTGCATACTAAGTTGAATAGAAAAGCATTACTCTAGTTTCCCAGCTCAAAAATCAGAGCAGGCCAGCACTGTCTAAAAGTTTTGATTGCTCTCTGGTGGTCAGTATTAAGTGAATGAGTTTCCCTGTTTAGATTCCAACAAACAGAATTCAGTATCCATGACACCTTCCTTCAGCACTGTCAAATAACCTTGCTGTCATTCTCCACAGTGTTCAAAATCTTTTTCTGGAGACTGAACTCCCCTCCTACAACCCACCTAGAGTCATGGCAGTGTAGGCATGAGAAGTTTCCATTATGGCAGTGCTTTTCAGTAAAGAATGAGTCTTAAGGACTCTTAGCCAGGCACCTTTCACAGACAAAGCAGTTACTTCTGTTAAGGTGAGAAACACAATTTAGGGTACTTCAGATAGAGAAAATGTAAAGATGCTGTTTGTTTTTCTGATAGAATCTGTTTTCTACACAAAGCCGCATGATTTTGGCACTGAAACCAAGCCCACGGGCACCCGTTTATTCTTTTCTTTTAGTCTTTAATTTCTTTGTAAATTCCTTTCAAGAATTCAGATTAATGTATTTATGGTCCATTTCATTCCAATTCTGTGTCTGCCACAGAATCTCATCAGTTTTATTTTTAATGTAATATTTAGCTGCATTACTTTGAACAGCTTTAGAAGTATAATGTTTTTGAATGCTCTAGTTAAAGGAAAGTTATACCCTCAAAATGATGTCTTAGAAGTTGAGCTGTATACTTGGGAAATAGTGTTTATATTATAACTCCTGAAAGCATCACAGGGTGCTTTCGTCTGTATGTCTGCTACTTTCAGTGTAACAGTGTGTATTTGTATTTCCTCACTAGCTTGATCCTTTCCATCCTGAAGGCCTAAGAATGCAAACACATGAATACTGTGCCTCGCCTGAGCAGTCCCACAAAGCTAAGTGGGGCTGCTCACGGGAGTGTAGTTGCTCACAAGAAAGTATTTGCAGAAAAAGGCTTTCCTTTAGCAATTGACTGTAGTTGTGAGGACACATGGTTAATAACAGCACCAAGACACCAATAAATGGGGTCAGTGTTTATCAAAGATGTGGACACATTTATCTGCAAGTTACCTGACATTAACCTAAATTATTGCTATTATAATTCAGTATATTATTTCTGATGAAAACACACTAGTCCTGTGAAAG